CAGCCGAAGGGTCAGGCCTCGTCCTCCCTTGGGCGATGCATCGGCTGGTGTTGTTTATCCAGGGCAGCAGTTACGACTATTCTTATTTTTGCTATTTATAAAGCAGACTGTGGTTTATTGGAAGTGCACCAGACAGCATTGTAGAAACGACAGTGACTTATTCACCGCTTGCACGCAATACAAGAGCATGTGAGGTCGGGATATTGTTTTTCTTGACTAGTGCCTCACTGGAGGCGACTGTATAAGTACACTTTTATCATTCCCTCTCTATTTACTTCAGACCTGTTTTCCTAGCATTAGCATTGACGATTGGTGGTGGGTTGTTCCTGCTATGCAGTAACAGCTCGGTATGTCTTCAAAACAAACAAACAAAAAAATATTTATAGTAACAAACATGGATGTTTTATAGTGAGACAACATTACAGAATTAATCAAATCCATTGCTAATACTGCTGTTGTTTTCCCACCAAATTGATATCACTTCCTGGAAGGTGATGTCATTCACTGGCTTTTGTTAGAATTGACAGAAGACTGAAATAAAAACAGGATGTAAGGTGATATTTGGGGACACAGTCAAAACAACAACAAAAACTATAAACAAATTACTAGGGCTGCACGATTAATCGCATGTGATTGTCATGCGTATCTTGTCAGTAAAGCCGGTTCTGTGATTAGTAGTAAATATCCAGCACGTGCTTTCAGATGGAGCAGCGTTTACTACACAGAGCCATAGTTCTCTGACAAGCTACGCAAAATCGCAGACGATATTATTGCACGTTTATGAAATCGAAGATATCGTTCTGCGATTATGAAAGTTGTTTGCATAGCAAATGCTGCTCCATCTGAAAGCACGTGAAAATACCCCATTTAATAACATGTTTTTACTCCAAACTCACTTCATAACGTCAGTCGAGTGTTTGAAATAAATCCCTCTGTGAGATGATGTGGCTTCTTACACAGAATAAGGCACGCAACATATTTCATAATATTTAAGCAGTGATAAAGGCATTGCATTATAAATATACTTTATTTTAATGAAAATAATAATAATAATAATAACTTTGTTTATCCAGCTACCGCTATAGGCATTTCCTGGGTTTCTTCTGCGGGGCGTATTTGGAGTTTCAGCACGAGAGAGCCCTCTGGACTTCGGATGGAGATTTACTACTGATCACAGAACTGTGCTTCACTGAAAGATAAGCATGACAATCGCAGCTTCTACCTAATCACGATTTATCGCCTTTCGATTAATCGTGCAGCCCTGCAAATTACCAAAAAATGGTAATTAATATCAAATGGAATTCTCATTTTGACAGTATTGATAACGGGTCGAATGACTAAACCTCTTATTCGACATAAATATCCAGTCAAACCAAAGCAGGACAATGTGTTAAAGATTACTGCTGCACTTATATTGTGATAAAAGAAAACGAAATAAGATTTCCATCTTTAGAATTTGAAATTTAAATGTAAAAACTGATCCAAAATAAATAAATATTTGCTTTATGTATCTGGTCCATTTTCCCAAAGTGATAAAAATGTACACTTTAAATATATGCATAATTTAATTTGTTTTTTTAGAAGTACACATTTAATTTTAAAAGTTTAATATTTTACATAAAATAAAAATAAAAAAATCTAGTCTATCTTTTCCAGAAGTGAAAAACTTTACATTTTAAATGTGTGTAAGTTAATCTGGTCTGTTATCGGTATGCTAACATGTAAATGGCTTCCAAAGCAGTGCAATTTGTTGAAAATTACTGCTATATTTACTTAATTATATATTGTCACAAAAGAAAATGAAATATGATGCCTATAATGAATTAATAATAATTAAAATATTAATTATAATAAATAATAATGAATTAATTTCCATATTTAGAATCATATTATATAATATATCTGGTCCATTTTCCCATAAATAGGACATTTTAAATACAATACAATATTTTTTACATAGAACAGTAATTTATATTAACTTACATAATTATAATATTGTATTAGAAGAAAATGAACTACTACTGCATTCCATTTTTAGCATCTGTAGTGTATTTTATCCAAAATATTATCTATAAATAAGAAAATATTTATACATCTGGCTAATGTTCACAAAAGTGGAAGAACTGTACATTTTAAAATTATATATAAATTAATTTGGTCTTTCAGCAGTACACTAACATATAGACGACTTCAAAAGCTAACATACAAGGACTTAAAAGCAGCAACAACAAAAAAATGTGATTTGATGGGCTCTTGGTTTCATGGTTTGATTTCACATGAAAATGTACTGCACAGTAGGAAGGACCCAGGTGTGCTGTTTTTGTTTGTTTGCGCAGCTTGATTTCACCAGCAAACTGAAAGACCTTGCTGCGAGAGTCAGCTCAAACAATGCTTTCATTTAAACACATGTCCAATTCAAAAGTACATCGCGTCTGAAGAGAGACTGCCGTTTTGTGATTAGCGTCCAGGTCAGTGTGATTTACTCGAGACCCAGCCAGTCTCTATTCCCAGGTCTGCCAGGTTTCCACACAAGCTCACTACTTTCCTTCAGTGATTTACGCAGCTACTGCGAGCAGCTGGAAGATTTTTTGCCATTCTGGAGTCGAAGTCTCTCTTGACGGAGAGCTCATTCAATGGGCCTGCAAATCCATGAGGGAAAGATAAATCCTGAGCGCTGGACTGAATACATCACTCCGGAGTGGGAAAATTAAGCTTTCAGCCAGTTAATGGGAGGAAAAAAAGAAAAAACAGAAATGCCTGAAGAGGGGCAATCAACTGAATACAAGATATGAAGTAAAGAATGTCGCCACTTTAATCATTTTGTTGATGATTAAAGAAAGGAAGTCATATATTAAAGCTTCAGGCCTCGGGTACAGTGTGTGTTAAACCGAGCGAAATGAGATGCAGTGAATTCAACAGAGACTTCAGTGGTGCTAGAAAAAGAAAGGTTGTTATGCAATGTTATGCTTAACCTTGCTGTACCATTCTGAGTCATGAAACTGTAGAAGAAGAAAAAAGCTAAACTATCCACTGGAAAGACTACAGTACTGAGTGGCACATAAAAACAGAGAGTGAAGGAAAGAAATTGAGAGAGGAACTGACAGATATTCAGAAACGAGCACCATGGGACCATTTTAAGGAGGACATTTTACCCTTTTAAACGAAGGCTGAGGGAATGACGGAGTAAAAAAATGAAGCAGAGTTCCTCAAGAGACTCAAATCATCTCTGATTGAGAGGGAGTGCTGGCAACTAACACCAGCGAAATGAAGCGAGTCTCTCAAGGGCGACATCCGCGCCATCAATTCCAGTTGACCCGCAGGACCTACAGAGACACCTGCGCTGCCACGGCGAGATGATGCTGTGACAGCATAGAGATTTGTTCTGGCACAGCGATTTCGGTTTCGCCAAGTGACTATCCACTCGCAAATAGGCGTTTGGGATCCTTCAGCGCTTAGATTTTAGCATGGCGGATAAAGATGTTAAAAGTCCTGTGGAAACGCATGGGTCAGTTTTGGCTCCTTAAAAACCTGAATATGCCACTTTGCTAATATTATAAGAGGTTTAATCATTCGACCCGTTATCAATACTGTCAAAATGAGAATTCCATTTGATATTAATTACAGTCTGGCATTCCTCATTAAATGAAGAGGATCTATTAAGTAACCATAATTATGACCTGAAAGGATTAATAACACGTTGGGACATTCATATTCTGTACGGCTAGGAAAATGTATCACTCAACGCCCAATTATTGGCTTTTGCTTGAGCTCAAGTACAATTAACAAGAAGGAACCATTTGCATAAGTTAATTACATAAAAATGCCAGCCTTCGGCCACATTTATACAAATGTCAAGTGCTTTGAGAATCCAATACTTGATGTAAGTGAGGTGACCAGCCATTAAGCGAAAGGAGAGGTTAGTCTGAAATTCAAAATAATTATTAGCATGCAAAAAGAAGGTTGCTAATTTGCAAATGCTAATTTTTCTTTGTTGATTGCTGATCCGAAAGCGCATTAAATCAGGTAACAGAGAAAATTACAACCCTTTTGCAAGACAAAACGAATCGACAAATCTCCATCATGAATCTCTTTATTAGCTATTAAAGGGACCGTTCACTCAAAAAAAAATTTCATCATTTACAGTGTAAATATTATGAATATATAATATGAATTTAAAATGACTAAAGTTTAAATAAATTAAAGCCAAAACAAAAAGAATATTAAAAGTAGCATATAAAAAATGCACATAAAAAATACTAAAACTTAAACTAAAACCAATACAAATAATTAATATTATATAACAGTGCATTTACTCACACCCTTATGTTGTTCCATACCGGTATGACTTAATTGCATCTGTGGAAAATATATAAATGAACGTTGACTTTTTTTAGTCATGCATATAAGTAAAATATAAGTAAATCATGCATATGAAACTACAAGAGGGTTAGTAAATGACAATTTTAATTTTTGGGGTGTACTATCCCTTTAAATGAAAGGATATATATATATATATGCAACAAATGTTTGCAAACATTACACTGTATGCTAACATGACTGGATTTTTGCTAATTTGCCACTTGCAAATGCTAATTTTGCTTTGTTGACCACTGAACGGAAAACACGATTATACATAGAAAATGACAGGCCTTTTTTGAGGAAAAACTGACTGTACAAATCTGTAATAGTCCCTTTCTGAAGGCTGCGGAAAAGGTTAGACAGCATGTTACTGCCTAAAATACCTGCTCGGTTAACCGAATATGTCACAGAAACTGCAAGGGCAAAAATTCAACAAAACGCTTCAACAAGTGAACACTGAGGACACTGACAATACTCAGGCTGAAGAATAAAGTTTCAGTGCAGCAAGAAATATTTAACAGCTACATGAGCCAAGAGCCAAAAGTGTCCCACTCAGTCCTCGCAACAAAGATTAAGCACAGTGCTAAACAAGGAAACATAATCATGTACACTGTGTTAGTTACTAGAAATGCACATCTTACCTTTAAGCTGATCTACAACCACACTTGGTCCGATCCTTTCTGTAACTCGCCCGTCTTCTCGCAAATACCGGTCATCCAAAAACTTGTCCGTGGCCTCCGAAAGGTGCACCTTCCCGGCAACACCCAACTGCTCCATAAGATTGGCTAGGTTGACATCGTTGGACCAGACGTCGAACTTAAAGCGCTTCATGCCGAGGATCCCGCAAAGCACGGTGCCAGTGTGGACGCCAACACGCATGTTCACCATCTCAGTCTTTTCTTGACAGAACTGCTCAATGGCCTGGATCATCCCAAGCCCCATCTCTACACAGCAGTATGCATGGTCTTCTCTTGGTTCAGGACAACCAGCCACGCAATAGTAACAATCTCCCAGCGTGCTGATCTTCTCGCAACACGTGAGCTCACACAGGCGATCGAAGCGTCCGAATAAGTCATTGAGGAGTCCCACTAGGGCATGCGCCGACTTATTGGCGCTCATCTTGGTGAATCCCACAATGTCCGCGAACAGGATGCTGACCGGCTCCATGCGTTTCATGTTGAACGGCCGAAAGATGATCTGGCCTCGAGGTATCGATGTCTTCTTGCGTTTGGTGCTCCTTGGGCTGGAGGCACCCGCAATGACCGCTCCCGTCGAGTAGCGCTTAACTGAATTGTCATTGTCGTCATCGCTCTGCTTCATGAGCTCATCAGCCACCCTACGAGGCATCACCGAGTGGATCATCCGCTCCTTCAGGGCCTTTTCCACCTCCAAGTCTTTCCCATGCATGATGGCTTGGCCGACCTTGAGGAACGTGCTGCGTGAACGCACTTCGGACATAATAAAAAGGTGGATGCCAATGACGTGGGCGCAGAGATGCAAAATGACCCTTCCTGGGATCAGCCAGTAGAGCGTTTCCAAATGTTCCTCAGTGGAGTTCCTCCAGCCATTGCCTTGAATCAAATGCATCCAGCCAAGAGTCTCAAAAAGCACTGAGTAGAGCAAGCCGAGCAGGAGCGAAGCGTACAAACGGACGTGGAGGAAACTGTAGAGCAACGAAAGCACCTCCATGCCTAGAGAGAAGGTGCCAACTGGGGACAAACAAGGAGCAACTGGACCTCCACTGCGGGTGGCTTCAAACGTCAGGTTTTTATCCTCTGTGCCACTGAAGTCGCCTGCGTCCTCTTCATCCTTCAAAGAAGGAACATTAAAGTCACTAAAGCCTGAAGTCTGGATCTGAGGTGCAAGAGTGAGGGCAAATGTCACCACGATGAGCAACAGCGAGGCTTGATTGTAGCAGTGGACGTAGAACCGGGTGAACGTGAAGGCGAACAGGACAGAACAGAGGAGTAGGAAGGCGGCCGTGGGCAATAAGAAGGCAGTCCGTTCACATCGATTAGCATTAGCGATGAAGAACAACCCCCAGAGGAGGCTGGCGGCCACCAAGTAAAACAACACACAGCGGAAACGCCGTTGCGTTTGAGGGAAGCAGCGCTCGCGGCAGGCTTCCTCCAGAATGTTGGAGTCAAACTTGGGGTTCCAGAAATGTCCAGCCGACCTTTCGAACAGCTGCGGCATCTTCCTTTGAGTCCGGAGGCCTTTGACCACTGGTTTGCGGATGGCGGATTCGCCTGAGCTACAGCTGGAGGAGATGCTGTACTTGCAATGTTTGGAGCCCCCCTGGAGACTCCGCGTCCTGTCAGACGGACATAAAGGCAACAACAGCGTTACGGTAAAACAAAATAAGTAGAAAAATTCAGCCAGTCTTCTTTCTAAAACGGCCTGTCGCGTTACTATTCTCTTGACTGGAGCACCGACCTTTCCTGAGTTCCCCCTCCGGATCTTGCAGGCGCTTCTATTGCGAATTAAACGCGCGTAATGGGATCAAAATCATGAAGATTGCGCATATGGATTAACTTATCATTCAAGATGCATAAATGACTGTATGTCCTATACACTTTTTAAAAACTTTTATTTACTAATTTAAAAGTTCTCAACTTATAAATTCTTAGAATTCTTATACATTCTCATAACTGTAGTGCATCAAATATAAATATGTATAATATATAGAAGTAAATATATGTATAGTAAATAGATATATAGACAGACAGACAGACAGACAGAGATAGATGACAGACAGACAGACAGACAGGAAATTATGTGAAGGTGTAACGTGTGCGTTTCTTATCAGAATTGAGCTGAAAGTGAGTTTGCGGTGGATTTATATGTACAGTTATGCACTTGGTAGGTGCTTTTATCCAAGCAACTTACATTGCATTCAAGTTATATACATATTTCTATCAGGCCTTGCGTTTTCTTTGAATCATTTTTTTTTTTTTTGCAGCGTTTACTACTGTTTGAGCTACAGGAATTATGCAGTATTGTGGGGAAACTATTTTTTCATGTCTGCATTTGATAGATGCTTTTATTCAAAGCAACCTATAGCGTGTATAGGTACCTATAGCGGGTTTTATCAGTTCATGCATTTCTTGGGAATCAAACCCATGATCTTGGCACTTCATGCACCATGCTTTACTGTTTGAACTATTGGAGTTATTTTTTGTTATTGTCTGCTATTAGTGCCATATTAGTACCTTGATTGCAGAAATAGTTTATCCAAAAATTAAAATTAGCAAAAAATGTACTCACCCTCAGACCATCCAAGATGTAGATGTAGATTCACTGAATATACTGCTCAATTTCTCCAAATCTGTTCCGATGAGGAAACAAACTCATCTACATATTTTCAAATCTTACAAATTTTCATTATTGGGTGAACTATTCCTTTGAAGGTTCTTTAGAGAACCCCAAATAGATATTCTATCACATTGCTTCATCGGAACAGATTTGGAGAAATGTAGCATTACATCACTTGCTCACCAATAGATCATCTGCAGTGAATGGGTGCCGTCAGAATGAGCGTCCAAACAGCTGATAAAAACATCACAATAATCCACCAGTAATCCACACCACTCCGGTCCATCAACATCTTGCTTTTGGCTAAAATATGAGTCCTTTATCCATATTGCTTTCTCTTGTGAAAAAGTTGTCCTGTCTGAAGCACATCTGAAGCACATGATCAAGCACAGTTTACAAGTGAAAACGGTTCAGAATTGTTCTAAGCAAATATGTGGGTGGATTCTGATGTGAGTGGGAAACAGGAGATGGACCTTTTCACTGGAGAGAGCAGTATTATGGATAAAGGACTCATATTTTAGCCAGAAGCAATGCTTTGAAGATTAAAATGTCTTAATGATGGGTTTGTTTCTTACAAACTCACAGCCTTTCACTTCACAAGACATTAACTGATGGACTGGAGTGGTGTGGATTATTATGATGCTTTTATCAGCTGTTTGGACTCTCATTCTGATGGCACCCATTCACCGCAGAGGATCCATTGCTGAGCAAGTGATGTAATGATACATTTCTCCAAATCTGTTCTGATGAAGAAACAAACTCATCTACATCTTGGAGGGCCTGGGGGGCCAATTTTTCTCTTCTCTCAATCAAAAAGGTTTATTCTTATGTTAACCTCACACATAATGGTAAGACTCTCTCCACTGAAAACACAGAACAGCATACGCTGTTTACAGGGTGATGCTGAGGAGACGAATTGTTGAATAAAGTTGTTTTTTTTTCTTTTGCGCACAAAAAGTATTCTCGTAGCTTCGTATAATTGCGGTTGAACCCCTGATGTCACATGGATTATTTTACCGATCTCCTTGCTACGTTTCTGGACTTGAGAACATTTCAGTTGCGTTGCTGTCTATGCAGCGTCAGACAGCTCTCAAATTCCAACAAAACTATCTTAATTTGTGTTCCGAGGATGAACGAAGGTCTTACGGGTTTGAAACGACATGAGGGTGAGTAATTAATGACAGAATTTTCATTTTTGGGTGAACTAGCCCTTTAAGCTGCTGTACGAGTTTACATTAAACTGCCCCTGTTTCATAATGAGCATTTATTTCATTCATCTCATGTTGGCAAAAATGGTTTGCATTACAATCTTCCTTACCTCAGCATTATGTTGTGTAATTTCTGTTGCTTTGTCCTCACGTCAATGTGATGCAATAGCGCTTCACATTCTGTGCTCACTCTAGTGGACAGCTACCGCCACAGCAACTTCAACACATATGGACACTCACTCACGGCTAATTAGAAGTGTTGGGAAAAACTATTTTCACTGTAATAGTCTGATTTTTACATTGCCTAAAGAATACGAGAGGGGAGTTTGCACATGCAAAAGTTGTGGTTGGTTGCCAGGTCATTTGAATGCGCTTGTAATGGTGACCTGTGTAGTTTTTACAGCTCATGATCTGTAGTTTAATACTTTTAAACATCAGAGATTTTTAAACAAGCCACCTGTCAGAATAACAAATCATGCTCAGGGATTGAGCAATATTCACATCCTCTGCATGTTTTAATGGGCTTGCTACATTTATGACGACCCCTGTGATCTCCACCTGCCTCAGAAAACACTGCTAAATATACAGCTGACTTGAGCATCGTTCAGCACTTACCTGCGGTTAAAATCTAAATCTGATAGCGATAACATCTTGTATCTATTTTTGGAGGTGGGAACAAAGAGTGACCATGATATTTAACAGGGACTAGACAGTTCTTTCAGAAGAGATCCGAGTCTATTAACCCCGACGACCCAACTCCAAAAAAACCACACAGCTTGGTTAATAACACTTTATTGCAGTTTTGTCGCTCCCACAGAACTGTTCTGTTTGCACTATGTTCACTGTTGACTACCATACATCATCACTAAGATTCCAAAAAAGCCTAAAGCTTATAAAAATGCAGCTTTCTGAGGTAACATCTATCTAGATATCTAGATTAATGTGATTATTTCCACACAAAACCCCAACCATTACATAAGACCTGGCTATTAGTTGTGGAATTTTAAATATACTATTAAAAATGAAGGTTCTGTATTGGCATCGAAGGTTCCGTGAAGAACCTTTAACATCCATGGAACCGTTCAAATGCACAAAAGGTTATTTCTGTGGAAAAATATTATCAAAATGTTGCTCTAAAAAAAGAACAGTTTAGTTAAAGGAATAGTTCAGTTGGAGAAATTTTGCACTGCATCACTTGCTCAGCAATGGATCCTCTGCAGTGAATGGGTGCCGTCAGAATGAGAGTCCAAACAGCTGATAAAAACATCACAATAATCCAGAAGTAATCCACACCACTCCAGTCCATCAATTAATGAAAAAGCGAAAAGTTGCATGTATGTAAGAAACAAATACATCATTAATATATTTTTAACTTCAAACCATTGCTTCTGGCAAAAATATGAGTCCTCTATCCATAATATTGCTTTATCCACTGAAAAAGTTGCCTTGTCTGAATCAGGAGAGAAATATTCACAGATCAAGCACCGTTTACAAGACAAAACAGTTCTAAACAAATATATAAGTTCATTTTGATTTGAGAAGGCAACAGGGGATGGACTTTTTCACCGGAGGAAGCGTTATTATGGACTCATATTTTGGCCAGAAGCAACAGTTTAAAGTTAAAATGTCTAAATAATGTATTTGTTTCTTACAAACACACAGCTTTCCCTTCATAAGACATTAACTGATGGACTGGCGATGTGTGGATTACTTGTGGATTATTGTGATGTTTTTATCAGCTGTTTGGACTCTCAATCTGACGGCACCCATTCACTGAATATACTGCTCGATTTCTCCAAATCTGTTCAGATGAGGAAACAAACTCATCTACATATTTTCAAAACGTACCCGTTTTCATTATTGGGTGAACTATTCCATTGAAAGTTCTTTGGAGAACCCCAAACAGATCTTCCATCACATTGCTGTGAAAACCTCCTTTCAGAACCTTTATTTTTAAGAGTGTAGATCGTTTTTTATTGTGGTATACAAAGTGGATAAGTGGAAATGTGAAAAAAACAAACCCATATGTATCATAACATGCAGTATAAAAATGCTAGTAGCTTATCAGTCTGAAGAGAGAGAAATAATCATCCATAGTTACTACTAACCTATAAAAGTGAACTACCAACCCACAACTGGGGAACTGATTCAGTAAGTTTAAAACATGACAATTGCATCACTGTTCACATTCAAGGCAGCTGAAACCCATTTTCAGTCTCAGGATATTTTATTTTTGCTATTTTTTACATTTTTTAAGTGTGTGTCAGCCATTTTTGTCTTTCCATACGTACACATTTTTCCCTCCAAAACTGCAGACAGTTTATAAAAGTAGTGCGGAAAGAGAGGAGAGTTGTTTTGGCGCGCTCTCCTCGCATTCTCAAGAAACTCTGCCTCAAGACTTCACAAGAGCCTCCCTCCACCCCATCCCAGAATCCCCCACCCTCAAACATCCCCACACACAACCTCTTCACGCAAAAAAAAAGTCCTGTGAGATCCGTCTCCATTGACTCTTAACGGACCCGCGGCAGGAACAGGATTAGCTCCACTGCTCCTCCTCGGTTTGTTCGCTCCACCGTTCCTCCTTTCTTTCTCTCGTCCTCCTCCTCGGTCTCCCTCCCACCTGGTTTTCTTCTCTCAGTTTCGCCGGTAGCGGTTCTTGGGCTTTTCCCCGCAGCCGGTGGCCTCGCAGGAGGACAAAGTCGGGTTCTTGCTAGAGTTGATGCTGCCGAGCAGAGAGGGCAGTTCGTGGGTGATGGCGCGCTCGATCTTCTCCAGTAGACAACCGCCCATGTAGGAGCATTGGGCCGACAGTTGCTTGAAGCTGCTTACTGGGTTAATCCCGAAGAAGTCGCGGTAAGCGTCTCGGTTGGGCAGGTCGAACTTGCTGACGTTGGTTTTGGCCAGGATGGATTTAAAAATGTAGAACTTGTCGGGATCGTCCACGATCTCCTTGAAGACCAGTTCGGGGTCGCTGAAGAAGCTCATCTTCTCCTTGAAGGTCTGCACGTAGCGGTCCACCAGGAGGGCGTGAATGCGAACGCGGATGCCATGCTGGCGGATGAGAGAAATATTCACAGATCAAGCACCGTTTACAAGACAAAACAGTTCTAAACAAATATATAAGTTCATTTTGATTTGAGAAGGCAACAGGGGATGGACTTTTTCACCGGAGGAAGCGTTATTATGGACTCATATTTTGGCCAGAAGCAACAGTTTAAAGTTAAAATGTCTAAATAATGTATTTGTTTCTTACAAACACACAGCTTTCCCTTCATAAGACATTAACTGATGGACTGGCGATGTGTGGATTACTTGTGGATTATTGTGATGTTTTTATCAGCTGTTTGGACTCTCAATCTGACGGCACCCATTCACTGAATATACTGCTCGATTTCTCCAAATCTGTTCAGATGAGGAAACAAACTCATCTACATATTTTCAAAACGTACCCGTTTTCATTATTGGGTGAACTATTCCATTGAAAGTTCTTTGGAGAACCCCAAACAGATCTTCCATCACATTGCTGTGAAAACCTCCTTTCAGAACCTTTATTTTTAAGAGTGTAGATCGTTTTTTATTGTGGTATACAAAGTGGATAAGTGGAAATGTGAAAAAAACAAACCCATATGTATCATAACATGCAGTATAAAAATGCTAGTAGCTTATCAGTCTGAAGAGAGAGAAATAATCATCCATAGTTACTACTAACCTATAAAAGTGAACTACCAACCCACAACTGGGGAACTGATTCAGTAAGTTTAAAACATGACAATTGCATCACTGTTCACATTCAAGGCAGCTGAAACCCATTTTCAGTCTCAGGATATTTTATTTTTGCTATTTTTTACATTTTTTAAGTGTGTGTCAGCCATTTTTGTCTTTCCATACGTACACATTTTTCCCTCCAAAACTGCAGACAGTTTATAAAAGTAGTGCGGAAAGAGAGGAGAGTTGTTTTGGCGCGCTCTCCTCGCATTCTCAAGAAACTCTGCCTCAAGACTTCACAAGAGCCTCCCTCCACCCCATCCCAGAATCCCCCACCCTCAAACATCCCCACACACAACCTCTTCACGCAAAAAAAAAGTCCTGTGAGATCCGTCTCCATTGACTCTTAACGGACCCGCGGCAGGAACAGGATTAGCTCCACTGCTCCTCCTCGGTTTGTTCGCTCCACCGTTCCTCCTTTCTTTCTCTCGTCCTCCTCCTCGGTCTCCCTCCCACCTGGTTTTCTTCTCTCAGTTTCGCCGGTAGCGGTTCTTGGGCTTTTCCCCACAGCCGGTGGCCTCGCAGGAGGACAGGGTCGGGTTCTTGCCGGAGTTGATGTTGCCGAGCAGAGAGGGCAGTTCGTGGGTGATGGCGCGCTCGATCTTCTCCAGTAGACAACCGCCCATGTAGGAGCATTGGGCCGACAGTTGCTTGAAGCTGCTTACTGGGTTAATCCCGAAGAAGTCGCGGTAAGCGTCTCGGTTGGGCAGGTCGAACTTGCTGACGTTGGTTTTGGCCAGGATGGATTTAAAAATGTAGAACTTGTCGGGATCGTCCACGATCTCCTTGAAGACCAGTTCGGGGTCGCTGAAGAAGCTCATCTTCTCCTTGAAGGTCTGCACGTAGCGGTCCACCAGGAGGGCGTGAATGCGAACGCGGATGCCATGCTGGCGGATGAAGGCGATTTTGTTCTCCAGACGGTTCTCGATCACTTGGTTCAGGTCCTCCAGCAAGGATATTTCCTCACGTTTGAAGAGGTCACGGCTGGTGTCCGGTGCGTAGTCATAGGGCCAGAAAGAGCTGACGTAGACGCGCGGGGGCTCGGTCACGTTAATGAGGGGCGCCAGGCTCCAGAAGAGGGCGCCGTAGACACGCATGAGGTCCTGGGTCGCCAAGCTGTCGGCCTTATTGAGGATGATACGGATCTGGGACTCCCGACCTTTCAGCTGCCGGAAGAGCATCTCCAACTCGAGACCGACGTCCAGCTTGGTGGGATCAAAAACCACGAAAATGAGGTCGGCGCGATCGATAAACCACTGGCACACGTCGTTGAATGGGTACCCTTGAAGTGGGAGAAGAAAAATAAATAAATAATTATTATTCATAAATTGCGATGTTAATACAAGGTATCTAGAGGGTTTTTAAAAACCTAACTTTTTAAGACTTTTTAAAGGCCTTCACATAAATTAATACTGTATATTCATTCATATTAAACCTATACAACTGCAAAACAAGTAATGTATCTCATATTCCCCTACAGTGTACAGCACATATTCAGCAAAGACTTACATTTGTTTTCAAATCAGTGTGGGGGGGGGGG